AAAAAAAAAAAAAAAAAAAAAAAAAAACTCCTATTTAAATTCATTACGGACAAGGGGGCAATACCGTCATTTTGCAACAACCAACTAACTAACCCCCTTCCCCTTGTAACGAACCAACCTGGGATTCCCTCCAAAACGAACAAACCGCCACGTCATACATTTCCCGCCAAAAATAAGCTTTCTTCTCCATTTTCACTCTCACTCCAACACTCACGGAAACTTCTCTGAAGCTCCAATTTCCATCAATGGCTGCTTCGCTTCCGATTATATCCTTTCTGGTTCTCTTCTCTCTCCCCTCTCTCTCCTCTTCCCTCCCTTCCGACACCGTCCTCGATGCCTCCGAGATCCTCACCGACTCCGGCCATGTCTCCATGGCTCTCACTCTCGAGCTCGTCTCCCAAACCCTAACCCTAAAGTCCCCTTCCCTCACCATCTTCGCTCCTCCCGACGCCGCCTTCTCCAAGTCCGGCCAGCCCGCTCTCTCTCTCCTCCAGTACCACTTTTGCCCTCTCCCTCTCTCTCTTGAGAAAATCAAATCTCTCCCCGCCGGTACGAAGATCCCGACTCTGCTCTCAGGTCACGTCTTGATCGTCACCTCCTCGCCTTTCGATTCTCAGATCTCGCTCAATAACGTCAAGATCACGAGTGAATCGCCGATCTTCAACGACGGATCTCTGATCATCTTTGGAATTGAGGACTTCTTCGATCTCAATTATCAAGATCCTGGCTCAGTTCCCAGCCCTAGGTCTGGTTCGATATGCGAATTGTCGCCAACCGTGTTTCCTGGAGCTTCGTGGTTCAAGGAAGCGAGCGATAATCTGAGATTCAATGGCTACTCTGCGATGGCGGCGTTTCTGGATTTGCAATTGTTAGGGTTTGACAAGGAAAGATCCGCTGCGATGACCGTCTTCGCTCCGACCGACCAAGCTATGTCAAAACGTCCTTCGCAGCACTCGTCGCCGTCGATCTTTCTCCGGCACGTTGTTCCGTGCAGGCTTTTGTGGAGCGATCTGATGAGTTTAAGCGCCGGGACGGTGTTGCCGACGTACTCGGAAGGATTCACGATCACCGTCACCAGATCGGACAGTGTTTTGATGCTCAATGGAATCCCTGTTTTCTACGCCAACATGCATTACAGTGACTCGGTTGCAGTTCATGGCCTGAATGAGATTCTCGTTCCGCAAGAAGTAGCTGAATCGGAGCCGTTATCGGCTCCAGTATCGGAACCGGAATCGGAATCTTCGACTGGGACTGATGGATTGAAGATTGAGGATATTATGCTGATGCAGAATACTAAATTCTGAGGCCACAACATCATGATCGTAAACCCCTGTTAACACTTTGCTTACTATTCTGTGAATTTGAAGTACAGTGAATTGATTTTCTATAGTTTTCTGTGCATATGATCTTATTCAATTTAGCCCCTATTCGCCTATTATCTGTATGCATGTAAAAGGATCATTTTGGAATAATATTCGAACTCCCTTGAACATTGTTTCGAATACTTGTTAAACGATTTCTTCTGGGTGTTCTTTTACATCAATGAGTGTTCTTTTATATCAATTTTAGCTTTACGAAAGAGAGAATTTGTACGGAGATGATAACATGTTGTATAAGCATCTATTATGGTACAACTATAATTGATCTGGGTTGCTTGGTTCTGAAGTACTGAATTGCAAAGAGTTTTTAACTGTTTGACATGCAATATATTGGTAGCTGGTATTGGAATAAACCTAGCTCATGAATGCAAAGGAGTAAAGGCTTCTCTATTCTCTGTTTCTTGTACTTAACCAATCCATTGATCTTCTCCTTACCTATAATTTTCCTAGATGGATTTTCCTGAAAATCATATCTGGTTCAAAGCTATTTGGTAAAACCCTTCTTGGGACTGGATTTGGCCCTCGAGACCGATTCATGTCAGCTTTAGAAAACTAATCGGACCTTTCAATTGATCCTTCATATAATGTTCAATTCCACTTGTTCTCATTTACTGCAACATTAAGAAGATTGTGATTATCTCTCTTGTACACGTTACATTTACGACAAAACATAAGTGTCGGTTTCTGATTGCATATATTTTTCCCCCATTTGTAGCAACCCCAGATGTTGGTCAATTCCAGAAAGTGGACATAAATGCATGAATTGGCATTTAGAATTCTATGGATGTTGGAAAACTAAAACGTTCGGCTCTTAAACAGTGGGTAGGCTATAAGAGAGGTAGATATCGGCTTGTATAAGTCAAGACACAAAAATAGGTAGAAGAAGAAAAAGAGCAGCTATCATCAGTTTGAAGGATATTTCAGGTCATATCTCTATTCACCAAGGGTTAGGCTTAGATGTAAGATGTGACATAGTAAAAGATACCCGAGATGGCTGTTTTATCTTTATTCTCTTGTAATTTATTTATTTATTTTTTTATTTTTTTATCAACTTCATGGATGAGTATTGAATTTCTCATGGTATTTTGTTTTAGTTTCTATACTTTTTGGTTCTACTCTTTGATAACAATATCGAAGGAAATTATACACATAGAAGAAACATGTATAGAAAAATCGAGCAATATCTATAATGCATTTTTCTTTACTATATATTAACAGCTTACACTAGAATAGAGTCAATAGACCAATAACTCTCAACTCAAAATGGAACTTCGCCCCACTTTGATTTCTTTCTTTTTTCAATTTTACATTCACTCTGCAAAAAACTACATATATCGGAATTCTTAATCTTTCTACTTATTTTCACTATACGGTCTCACACTTCTAGTATATTTGATGGCGCATGATTGTCCCTATTATTACTGTTCAAACTGCCCTTGCCGATCCTGCCTTTTATTAATGAAGATAGTTTCACAAACACTTCCTCCCTTTGGGGGCGGTTTGCATAGAGAATCCAGAGAACAAGGCAGAGCAAGACCCCAACAGAAATCATGGCCAACCCTGCATTTACCGTCTTGAGATAACGGTCCAATGGAGGGCAGTAACTCGAGGTGATATTTCGAAATGTATCGCGGACAAAATTGCAATCCTGAAGGCTCAGTAAAGGAGGGGTGTAGTGCTCAAGGGCATAGCTCTCATTAACTGCTGCTGTCAGCTGTGTGTAGACATCAGGGGTCACTCTTCCAACTGTGGTACAAATTCCAGTTGATGACACTTTGCATGTACAGTTCTGCCATACCTGAAAATAAACCCAAAACTAAGGACTCGACAAGCCTTCATGGTATGATTATTAGGATTTAGGAGAGAGAATTGGCGGGAAGGCGGAAACCTATTGAAAATAATCAAGGCTCGCAAACCATAAATGTTACAATCCTACGTCCTTTTATATGTTGGCCTTTCAAATAAAATGTTAAAGCTTTCAAACCGGATGAGGTTCAGGATTTGAACATAAGGATTTTGAAAGTGTTACATTTAACCAACCAGATTTTTTTGCTTTCTTGTATACAACAATGATCAAATCAAGTATGCATGCTTACTATACCACCCCATGGGATACTTGAGATTACTTCCCTTAACCGGAATTTATCAATGTCTTTCTTTTTTATAACAAGCAGCTTCAGCAATAAACATAAAATTGACTTCCTAATAAGAAAAGAATAAAACAAAAATGAAGTACCAAAACTCTTGGGAGTCTTACCAGTGAAGCATTCGCAATGGACACCTCTCGATCCCCACAATGGTTATCTTGCAAATGAGAGTCAAATGGGTAACAAAGAGGAGGCATCAAAGGTCCAGACTGGTTGTAGGAATAAGGAGCACCCTCGGAGGGATTTGCATTGGCATAGGTATAGATGAATTGGTTCACCACATTAACAATGCCATTGATAGTTTGTTTACTCTGAGTGAGTGTCTGGTTTGTCGTTTTTTGGTCGACACAAGGAAGGATGTTGCTAAGAGCTGTTTCTGCATGGGGATTTTCTACCCATTCTTGCATAGCCAAACAAGTGTCGGATATCGCACTGGAAAAATCGCAGAAAAGAAAAGACAAATATTTATATAAGTCATCGCTGAGGGTGTTGATTAGTGAGGATGGTCGCTACAAGCATACTTTAATTAATTCAAAGCATCAAGCTGAGTTGAGTAGAAGAAAAACTCAGATCATTAGATGCAACACAGAAAAAGAAATATGGACGGCAACGTAGGCCACACAGAGAAACATGTAGTCATGTACAGAACCATAAACAACTGAAACTTAAAAGTGTTTGATTACCATCCATTTTTAATGTCGCATGTTGAGGAATTTAGATGGTTCTGTTAATCACACATTTCATCAGGTTTCTAGTTCACACATAAAAAAATAATAATAACAAAAATAAAGCATACAAGAAAGTGTAACAAACATATCTCAAACCAAGAAAAGGCTTCTTACTTGTTGAGGATTACGAAAACTCCACAAAGAATGAATGTAATAGCCACAAGTAACCATCCACTGATTATAAATCTGCACCAATAAATTGATACAGTTAGACTCAGATTACCGAAAGCCCCAAAACATGAACGAAAAAGTAATGAAAAAACACGTTACAAGCAAACTTTGAACAAATATGCAAGGACAACTTACATATGGATTGCATGTTGATAACCAAGGACAGAGAGAACTGCAGCAAGATACAATAAGAAGTCGTCAAGAAGAGAAGAACAAACAAATTTCAGTGAACTTGAAAAAACAGTGGGAAAAAGAATATTGTTATTTATGTTTATACATACCAAGACCAATCAGAGCCAGGACAAGCATTACTGCTGCCACGGTGATCAAAGCCGAACGCCTAATATAACAAGCTCAACATTAGCCCATTAACTAACATCTAGTATGAATAGTATTTAATCAGAGGAACTCCTCAAAGTCAGAATTACGTACACAAGATTGAAGACTCTTTTTATTTTGATAGAATTTTCACTTGTTTTATCCGTCAGTGTATCTGCTGCGTTATTTAAATCCACGTTCAACTTGTCAATATCATCCATGATATCCGAAGGGAGGAAGACCTGTGCTACATTAATATCCTTTGCGAGGGACAGATACTGTGTGACATTTCTCAGGATGTGCACGGTGTAGTCTGATTGGTTTACAATGTAATTCAGAGTATGCAAGACTTCGCCATGAAATTCGTCCTGCCCAATGGAAAGAAGGATGCATCCAATCCTGTGTGATAAAAAAAAAAAAAAAAGGCATCAAGTTCCATAATTGAAAGAAAATCATATGAAGGAAAAAATTCATATAAAAAGTTCAAGAAAAAGAATTTGTTTCCGGGGAATTACGCTGCAGCGCAGGTGAAGACTAAAAGCAAGGTTAGACAGATCTTTTGTGAAAGGTGTGATCCTTCACCCTTAATGTTTATCCTCCACCCGCAGCAATGATGAATCACAAGAACTATGCCAAAAGAAACGAACCAAAGAACGGAGAGAATGAAAGCAGCTGAACCAGTAAATCCGACGGACTGCAGACAAGTAGTGATCAAGGTATAATCAGTTTAGTAAAAGTGGAAGTAGAAGATAATAACAATCACAATCCCAACACTAGTCTTGTTAAAGACATAAGAAGAGAAAAGAGAGAGGATGTTACAACTAAAACAAATCATAATTTGATAACGCGCGTTGAAAACACTATGAAATCTAGCTTTATCCAAAGACAAACTTTATGATTTATCACAAAGATAGATAGAACTCAATTTCTGATAAACTAAATTATGATGTTTAACATTGCAACAATTACACCTACTTTTTCCTATTTACCAAAGGCATAGAATGAGTAGCTTTGGACATTCAGGACAAAGACAACTATTAATTCTGTAACAAATATGTAACAGGTAATTCGCTTTCAATGGATTTTCCTTGAAAACGTATCATCAGGAACACAAGTAGTGCTTAAAAATAAATCTCTTAAGCTGAATTCATAAATCAAAATAATAATAATTTTCATTGGAACTCAGACTAAGCTCTACTTTTGTGAACAATCCATAAATCAACCAAGACAATGTTTCAAGGAACAGAACTTACAGCCCAGTAGTGTTTACTGGTGATGTCCCAGCCGCCGCGATACCTCTTAAAACCACGAAGAATGTCCGGTCTGTTTGTCCTGTTTGCCGCCAACACGAGGGTGGTCTGAGGTCGTACATCGCTTGCAGGGCCTGGGGCTTCAGCAAGCGCCGAGATTTCGTTCTTCCATGGCCCCAAATTCTCTTGCCCTGCAATTTTCAATCAACAACTCATTTTTCAATCAATTTACACAAATCCCAGGTGCCAACTTGCCATAAATCACAAACAATGACGTTCTTGAAAACTTTAGGCATTATTAACATAATCAAAATCCAAATAGAATCTTCATGTGTTTTAAAGGGGGAAAAAGAAGTAACTTCTTTGTATAGTTAGCTCATTACTGATAAAACGTAAAACATAATCAGATTATAGCCTACAAACTCTAAAGAAACAGGATCCCACAAAATCAAATTTACCAAACTAACCTAAGATGAATTCGCGACGATCTTTAATGGCTCCCTTCTCAGCTGAGACGAAGCCCAAGAACACCAAGAAGAAGCATAATGAAGAGGTCACAAACAAGAGCTTCATTTGCTGTTCGTTTCTCTCTTTCTCTCTCTATCTCTGTCTACATCAAACAAGATTTAACACGAATTTCCGCAATTGAGGGCAGCCCATTTCTTCATAACCCAAATCTCAAAAACTTCGAGACAGAGAATAAGAGAGAAGTGTTTTCAGAGGTTACTGTGTGGTTAACATTTCTTGTTTTGTCGACTAATGAAAGAGTATATATAAGAAGGAAACGGAAGCTCAGAGAATGAAATGTATATTTACATGGAGAGAGAGGATTTTAGAGAGAGAAAGTCACATGGTGGGGTAAGAGTGAAGAAGATTATTGAGAGAGAGGAAAACGAAAAAGGCGGGTCTGAAACTGTTGAAATAAAAAATTAAAAAAATAAAATAAAACTCAGATTCTACTGTTTATGTTTTCTTCCTTCATGGACTTAATAATATAACCGCGTTAAGCAAAGCACTTCTGTTACTTTTTTTTTTCCTTTTTGCTTTTTCCTTTTTTTTTTGTTATACCAAACTTCCACCATTTGTTTGTCCTTTTCTGCTTTTTAATTTTCTGTTTCTACTTTTTCTGCTTTTTACATTTTTCGCTTTGTTTTCTTTTTCCGGGTTTAGGACCACAGACAGAGATATTTATTTATTTTTCTGACTGATTGGAAGATATTACTCCATTTTTACAAGTTTTTAGGTTTTGTTGGTCTAGAATAGTAAAAAATATGTCAATATAAAAAATTAAAAAAAATATATATGTCAATTTTTAGTTATAAAAATTAATAAGTTATAATTTATTAAGTTATGGTTCATAATCAGATAAGTTATGGATAAATTTATTAAGTTATGGTTCATAATCATACAAGTTATGGATAATTATGAATAATAACTTGTCAAGTTATGGTTCATAACTAAACAAGTTATGGACGAAAACAATAATTTAGCCTATTTATTAACTTATGTAAACTATTGACCTATTAATTTTAATTCATCTCAAGTCTTGACCTATTAGTAGAAAATATGCCAATATGAAAAGTTTAAGAAAGTATATAGGCTAATTTTTAGTTATAGAAATTAATAAGCCATAACTTGTCAAGTTATGGTTCATAACCAGATAAGTTATGAATAAACTTGTCAAGTTATGGTTCATATCCAGACAAGTTATGGATACTTATGAATAATAATTTATCAAGTTATGATTCATAATCAGACTAGTTATGGATGAAAATAGTAATTTAACATATTTATTAACTTATGTAAACTATTAACCTATTAATTTTAATTCATCTTGAGTCTTGACCTATTTTTCTTTTTCTCAACCCATGAGTCGGATCTCGGAGTTAGTGAGTTCGGATTTCAAGTGAGTGGGAACAAGATGAAAATATTTTTTTATTTATATCCTTGAATTATGGATTTTTTTTGCTGAATAAAAATGAATTATGTTTAATATTTAATAAATGCTAATTGTTGTCATAACGGATTGTGGTGTGAATCTAGTGTGTTTAGGTGCAGTGTAAACATCAGTGTTCTAGGATTGTCAATGGTATCACATCAGATTGGTTAGAGATTGGGTGGGGCCGTTGTGAGACTTTTTGGCCCACTTTTTATGGCTTTTATGCATGTCATGATGATGGGGATCCGAGGTTCATCATTTGTTGCGGTGAATGTGTTTCAGTTGATTAAGGTAGTAGTTTGTTCATACAAAAATATTATAAAAAAAAAAGTTATTTTTGAGGAAAATTTAAGAAAGAATTTTCCCTAAGAAACACACGAAATAAAAAGAAAATTAGTTAAGATAATTAAAATGCTAGAGATTCGCTTTCTTATAATAACATATTTTACCTGTTACATTTTTTATGTGAAACGAGTGTTAACCACTTTGTATTCTTTAACATTCCTCAACACTATTTATTTATTACACATATTTACCAAAAAAAAACCAATAATTTATTTATAAGTATTACGCACAATTTTCCATTTGAAAAAAGAGTACTTTTTGAGACAAACACACTTTTTTTTTTGTGTAACCAAACAAATTTATTTTATTTTTTAAAATATTAAATTAGAATGAAATACATATTTATACATTTATACAAAAAAAATCCAAAATCTATTATACTATATTAATACCTCGTTCTATTCGATGATTCGAGTTTAGAATTCGAGTTTTGCTATAGTAAAAAGGTCTCAGAAACAGTCACATCTAACTTTTTACTACAATAAAAAACTCTCACATAACATCACATCTCAATTCAAATTAAAAACTCAAATTAACGAACCGAACGGGATCTATCTATAAGAGTTCATTCCAAAAATTTGGATAAAAGGATGACGTCCTTTAAAAAACAATAATAAAAGAATGCAAGTACAAATATCTCCTTGGAAAACAATTTCATTTCGGTCTAAAAAGATCATTAAAGACAATCCATTATAATATGTTTATGCTTTTTTGATAACCTACCAAAGATAGAAGATTTATTCATTAAAAAAACGAAAAGAAAATGTGAAAATATAATTGAAAAAAAAAGAAAGCCAAAAGCCAAGGTGGTAAGGAAAGGAAACATGAAATGGGTGTTGGGTGGCCTCGGTAGAGTAGAGGTGAGTATTGGGTAGGCGCATAACGAGTGACAAGTGGGACCGCCTAATTGCCTACTCTCTCTTAACACACTTTTTTATCTTTTCTTTTGCACCGATTGCGTGGGCCCACCTTGCCACCGAACGTAAAAAAAGCAGCGAAATACTCGTGTCACGTGCGCAGCGCGTGATCTACTGCGCGCCACCGCGTAGAATCCAGAATAGTACGTTCACACTTAGAGATGGCAATTTTAACCGTAAACTCATTTATCTTCAAAGATCCCGCGTTAAATGAGACAAAAAAAATCTTTTTTAAATGGATTTAGGATATAAACAGAATAAAATTTTAATTTATAACGGGACAGAGATAAATTTAAAGATCTCCGACTCTATTTTCTATTTTCACTCCCATTAATTATATTTTATTTTTAAATTAGATATATATATTTATATATAATATCTTATAATATTTAATCGTATGTAAAATTTAAAACTATCTTTCTTTTTTATTTTTTACTTAGTGTTTTATATGTTTATATTGTTTATTTATTTATTTTATAATAAAAATAAATAATCAGATAAATAGGGCACTGCGAATATTTTGAACCTGTGATGGAAAAATCCGCTCGTAACCCGTAAATTTATGCGGGTTCATGAGGCGGGTATGGTGAGTATTTTTGTTCGCGGGACGGGTTGGTGTTGATTTGCGAATTGAATTCGGGTGCAGAAGTGTAGAAACGCGGATCAAGTCTGAATAAAAACTTTTATAAAACTTGGAAGAACATCAACACATATACGATGTGAAATTGAGAATGAAAGAACTTTTTTTCTCTTTTTTTCTCAATGTTACACACCCATTGCTGTAAAATTACATGCTAACTAACTGTATATTACATGCCTACAATAGTCAAGTTACACGCTAGAACTGACCGTGAACAGCCCCTTATATGATCCTATCGTGCAAAATGCTATCTTGATCGGGTTATCTACCATCGACCAATCCATGTGGGTCAAGTATGCTCTATATTGTTGGATGCAATTTTTTTTTTCTCAGAAAAAAGTTATTCAGTCCTATCATATACAAATTGATCACTAATTTGTGTCCAGTGGAGCCATCGCCGTGTCAAGCTGAATAGAAGTGCTCTTTTTTTTTTTTTTTTTTTGACCTTTATTGAAAAGAGATATTGGTGTTATCTTGTTGCTCATCTGTTTTATCTTTCAGATATTTGTAGTCCACAAATAGAAAAGAAAAGGCCTAAGTCATTTCTACTTGAAAAAAAAGGAGTCTAATTTTTAGTTTTATGGTCCTACAATCATGAATATAATGCCAACAAACTAATCGTGCAAAATCTTTAACTAAGACTATTGAGACTGTAAAATAAGGGTAAGCGCAGCGTGGATTGGAAGGTTATTTTCTAAAAAGTTTCACCCGGTCACAAGTGCAGCTGAAGAATTTTTTTAAACACGGTCAAAAAAAATATAATGCATAAGTACATCAATATCATGAGGTGTGAAGAGATATGGATTGTGCCATTTAAACCTTGTGCCCAAACAAATTTAGATATTTCTTAGACTATAAGGAGACGTGTATAAATTAAACTTATGATCAATTTCCTAATAATAATATTTGTAATTTACTGATTGCGTGGTTGATGGCCCAACCTATTAGTTAAACTAAATTTACTTTAAAAACAAACAAAAACAAGATTTACTTTCAAAATTAAAATATGTAGTTTGAATTTCAACTCCAAATTCAAAATAATAATAATAATAATAATAACATGCAACTTGCAGGCTTCTGTAGCGGTAATTCCACGCCCATCTGATCTCGAAGTTGATTTCTGATTGACATATCAATGCAAGAAAATGTTCAAATAGTAACACGAAGTTCAAAGATTAGGCCAATCAATTAAGTAAAAACAGAAAGTAAAACCACAACATTTGACAATAATATAGCTGGAATAGTAATCGTAAAAGATCATTTATAGATATAGATAAAGAGCGGTCCTTGTCAACTCTAGTTTTCAACTTAATTTGAAGGCTCAACGAAGAGGTGGAATAAAATTGTACGTTAATGTATGCATCGACATTAGCTTGGCTTGCCCGTTTTAAATGGAGTGGTTTGAAGTCTGCGTCAAAAGAATGCGTTGACATTAATTTCTTTGGTTAAACCTGTCCGTTCCAATTCATAATTTTCCGGAAAAGAAACGAGAATATTGAAGAAAAATAACAAAATAGCTATCTATTTCAGATGATTATTTTTTAGTCCCTTTTGTGAGGCAAAGACAAACAGACAGAATGTATCTATACATATATATATATATATATATGACTGATCATTAACAAGATTAGTACTACACTTAGTTGTTGTCCTTTTATCAGATTAGGTATAAAGAAGCAGAACCGGTACGTAACGCTAGCTACTCTGATTTACACATACATACATATATATATATATATTGTTAGTTAAAAAAGGATCAACGCGACAAATCTGGTTCATACTTTTGTCAACTAACAAGAAAGAGTTCAAAATCATATTAGTACAAATTATATTTAGCAAGTACTTGATGAGAAGTAGGATGATGGAAAATCGATTCTTAAATGACAGAAGAGAGTCATGATAGATTATTCTTCGTCCTTATGCTACCATTAATGGTTATCTACACATGTATATAAATATATATTCTATGTTCCGTGACATAAAATGGATTTGACTATCTTCCATAATTTGCATGTGCCAGCTAGCTGCA